CTTCCAACCCAAACCATTCTATGATTTCTTTCTTAATTAAGCTTGTAGTAAGCAGAAGGAGGTCACCTCAAAGTATGACAATTACTAGAATTTTTTAGATAAAAAAATTAAAAAGCTCATCTATTCTTTTCCCAGCTTCATTATATCTCATTATTTAAAATAATTATGTTCCTGAGAGACTCTTGTAATGAAAAGATATAAATTAGGTGGGTCAGAAGAGAACTTGTTTTGGTTTGTTTACTATATACTATATCCTGTGGTTACTAGCTTTGTTTTTACATGGATCCAAAACCCAAAGGTCTTTCACTAAAAAGAAAGTCTCAATAAACCACCTGGATTATTTTCAGCTGAAAAGAGCCAGTTAATTATAAAAAGGAGTATTGCTCAGTGTTTAAATGTGATTGTTTCAGCCATGCTCTTGAATTAAAATGGTGGGTGTGATCAGAAGAAAGAGCATTTGACATTTAAAACATTAACTGTGGAATTCTAAATTCAACCATCATTTTATGTATGAACTTGTGGGGGTTTTTTTCTTAAAAAAAAAAAAAGTTATTAGGCCTTTTTACATAACGTTACCTCAGGCTGACTTAGCTGATCAGCCCAAGTCCTTCTGTGGGTATTCTGTACACTCAGCATTTTCCAGCTACTCAAAAGGATTAGGCGTATTTGCAAGCTATAGTTTAAACAAAAACCTTAACAAAAATGGAAGTATCTACAGCATGGCTTGTATTAGCTTTAATGAAGTTAGTAAAAATCATACCTTCAGTTAAATTGGTATAATTTGCTTTAGTCTTTACTTAAATATACACACTTTCTCAGATTAGGTGGATTGTTGCCATTAATTCCAGTGTTGAAATGGCACACTTTAATACAATTTTAAAAAACAAAATCCACAAACATTATGTCAGATTTCTAGCATACTAGAAAAATGCTGTCTCCCACTCATTTTTTCATCTAGTTTGTGGGGCTGACAAGTTTTTCTAAGTCAAATTTAGATTTTTCAAGCACCATAAAGTCCAGAAATAAAGCTCTTTACTGCAATATATATATATATAAAAAAGCATTTACACACAGCATTATATATTGCTCGCAGCCTTCTGAATGCATAACCAAGAAATAGTGTTCCAAGATGCAGAAACATGTCACTTAAATTTATCTTAAATAAAATTTGCATGAAAATTTAAATGATAACTTTGTCTTATAAGCAATATCATCTAGTACCAGTTGCTACTTGGTTTGTATCAATGGATGTCAAGGGTATTGAGCAAGACAGGAGAGGATGGTGGTAACTGAATAGAAAATGGGTAAACCGGTTTTGCTAATGACCTTTTTCTTCTGGAAAGTATCTGCTGTTGGCTTTCACAGGGAGGGAAGGCCTGCATGTTGAAGCAACTGAGCACAACTACTGCCATTAGCTTAGTGGGAGCTGTGTGGTTGATTAATACTCTCAATCCCCTTGCTTGTCACAACTGCTCAGAGCTCAATTCAGATGCAACAGCTTAATTTTGTGAGGTCCTGCATTTACCTGCATTGTTTGGTTTTTTTCCTGTGGGTTGGTTTGTTTGCTTTTTTTGAATATGTCAGCTAACACCAACAAGAATGATTGAAAGACTTGCCCAAGATCATACATGAGTGACTATGGCTGGATAAGGCCCAAAATTCTCCTAGTTCCCAGGCTTTAGTGTAACCACAAGACCGCAGTGCTTTAGTTGAACTTCATCCTCAACTAGAACTTGGCACAAAGAACCCGAAGGAAAGAATTTCTTTTTGAAGTCTCTTGTAAATGTTCTAACTTGTTTTGTCCTTTGTATTCAACTAGGTCAGGAAAAATAACTTCTAAAGTCTTGGTTCAACTGTCTAAATAAATGTCATGTGCTCCTAGATTTATTTTTTTTTTAAAGTTGATAGCTTAAAGTTTGCCAGAAAGCAAGTAGCTGTGCAGTCTGCTCCTATGAAAGACACAGATATCAATGGAAGAAAGATGTATCACTGAAGATCCTCCTCCTGTAAAGCAGAAAGCACACTGACCGCTAATAAAATACATTCCATTTCTGGGCAGGAAGTGGGTTTTTTTGGCCAGGTTCTTACAGTTCAAAGTGCTCCTCTTTAGCAATTGTTTAGTGTTTTGCTGGTTTTTCTTTTTTACACAGATCTTGAGTGGGAAATATGAAGAAAGTGTAAATTTAAATGTGCCCGTAATGTACTGGGGAGGGGGGAATAACAACTTTAGAAAATGTTCTCCCCTCAAAGAGTTCCTTAGGATCTTGAATATATCAGGTATCTTTGATCTGCCCTCTCCAATGAAAGCTGACAAGACAGTTTTTGGGAAAAAAAACCCAATGTTTTTTTAAGAATACAAGCAATTATCTGTTTAAATGAAATGTCATTCATGAAGCTGACCATTCCATAGTAATATGCCAGGAGTATCTGTGACCTTCTCCTCTTAATTCAAAAGTGAGCCACTTCAATCAAGTACATTGACTCTTTCAGCGAGAATATTATTTTGTATCTGTAAAGCTTTTCTTCATATAGAGGTAGTGTTACAGATTTGGTTGAAGTGAGGTGGTGCAAATCCCTCAGTCTGCTGTTGCCTGTGAGTCATGAGCACAGGACAGTCTTGCCCAGAGGGTGAATAACATGGTAGACATAGAAGAATTCTTTTAATGTGTGCATTTGCAACTTGTTTGTGTAAGCTAGATAGCTCTACTTGCTCGGTCAAGAGCTGTACCTAAATAATGGTGCCTCCACAACTGCACCTGAAATGTGGGAGTTCAAACTATCTGTGCAAAGTCTCTATCTCGATGCTTTAATTTTTAATGCAAACATGTAGGTCTGCTTGTATGCTCCTCACAGTTTTACCTGTCCTGTGTGTAGCTAGTCATGTGCTAACATCTGTACAACAGCCAGGTAGCTTTTTACCTGGAGCCTCAGTTTGTCTCATTAGCTCAGGTGTGGTGCTTTTGGATGTCCTTGGCTTGAGTGCAGGTTTGTCTGCAAATGACAGTGTGGACACACCCCAGACTGTGCTAGAGTAATGGTCACAGCAATCAAGGGATACAACTTGTTCAAGCAAACAACAGTTGTACAAGCTGCCTAATCTCATAACTGATTAACAGAACCAACCTTGTTGAGCTCTGACAGCTAATACATGGTATGCTCTATCTAGAAATGGGTCAACTATTTACATACAGTATAAAAACCAGAAAGAAGTAACAGTATTGTAAACTGGATTTACCTAATTAAAAATAGTTTATTTCGAGACTAGTTAAAATACTGGATGTTAGAACACCATGGGAAGAGTACGTCTACAGTATATTTTGCTCTGTTACTCAATTTTTTTTTTTAAAGGCCTTTATGATTGGATGTGATGTTAACTACAGAACATGGAGCCTCCTGTTTGCAAGTCTAATTTAACAGTTGATGTCGTGTAACTTTAGCCACAAATTATTTTAAGAAGTGGTTCAATACTACTATTTTTCAAAGGTGCATCAAGGGGAGTGCAACAGAAGTTAATTATAAGAAAGTTAGTCTATCATAATTCAAGCTGACTAGAATGTAAAACATGAAATGATGTATTGTTGAAATTTAATTTTTTTCCTAAGAATCTCAACCTATGACTTTAAAAGTTATGTGGCCTGCCCACCCTGAATTTGAAAATACTGCCTTGAAAACATGCTGCCTGAGGTGCTTCACATTGAGGCCTTTTTTTAAAAAAAAACACCACATACTGTAAAATCAAAGGGATTACAAAGTTAGAACAGTAAAGGAGAAGCTATACTGGATACACTATAATCTAGAAATAAATTTTTTTAAACTTTTTTTCCTTGAAAAAAGCTGGTGCAGAGAATACTGCTGTTTTTATTATCCTGACTGTTTAATAATGGCTAAGAATAATCACTTATAATAAATTAGGTCTGCAGTATAAATGAACATATGAACTTTTCAAAAGAGACATACTAATGTTACTTTTAGAGTATCTAAAATGGATTTAAACTATCTCAAGATTCATTTAATCACTTGCAATTTATATTAAGAATCTTCTATACAGCAAGTTGAACAGAAAAAAGCAAACATTCTAACAGACCCTTTTCCCTAGAACAATTTTCATATAAAATAGTTTTAAATAGCTATTCTAGTGCATTCGCACATGCTCTCTCTCCCCCTTTTTCTAAAGGTAGCACAGCCAAAAGACAATGCAAGAATTGGCATTTGTTGACTGACTCTGTTTTCTTCTCCATCTGGTAAAGATAAGGGGAAGACAGAGACAAGACAGAATGTCCCAAAGTGGAAAATGTGAACTTGATGTTTACTTTGCCAAATCTCCAGGGACTTTGTTCTTTTCTGTGGCTATAGTTGATAAAACCCACTTTGCTCTGTGTCCGCATGTCACTCTGTGTTCAGTTACAAAAACTTTTCAATTTCAGCTGTGGATGAAATTGTTTTGAAGCTTCCATTTTGCTTCACTGAACACAGTGCAAACCAAGGCAAGGAACTTAAGTAAAATCCAAACAGGAGCTCCCATTAAGAATATTTGAGCAGCATTTTGTATATTCCATTTTCTACTGTCCTTATTCTGGGGAGGAAGAATCCTCATCTTCATCCTCTTCATCTTCATCATTGAATGAGCATGGAGTTTCTCCCCGTGACTCAGAGTAGCGTGATGTTGCACTGCTGGACTGTTGACTGCTAGGGGCAAGAAACTGCCCGGTTGCTAAGGCCACTTCAGCATCCAAACACAACCCTGGGTTCTCACTATCAAAACAGAAATGGCGAAGTTTAGAGTTTTAAGCTTTCTTCTTGGCCTTGGCTTTTCCTTTAAAGAAACGCTACCAACAAGGAAAATTCCATAGGCTTTACATTAAACACAGGTAATAGTTATGAAAACTGCTAAAATACTGGAAAGTCACATAAAAAAGATTATTGGGTGGCTTTTCTTCCCCCATAACCAACCAGCAGAATTGCTCAAGCTGAAGAAAGCCTAAAGAAGAATAAACCCATCATAATTTTTGTCAATACACAGAAATGTTTACAATTTGAAATCAGCTATTAAATGCCATGAGGAAGAACCTGTTCCAGAATAATCCCTCCTTCATTTTTCTTTAAGGTACAGTAAAGTGTGGTTGTTGAGGTGCTTTTTTTGGATTGTTTTGTTGTTGGGGGTTGTTTTTTGTTTGTTTGGTTTTTAAATTAAAATTATGATTAGACTGTGTGGACTAAACTTCTCTCATGAGAGCTTAAGCAGTAGTGCATTTAGACACCAAACATTCTTTTGTAGTCTTCAGAAGTATTATCAGGCTTTTTTTCACATATAATTACCTATTTGTAGTCCATGCCCAGGCAGGAATTTAAGGTTAATCAGGAAAACTGTCCTTAGAATGAGGGCTTGGAAATGATTCTATTCTTTTGAAACAGATACAAAATAGCTAGTATGTTCACAATTCAAAGCATGTTGACTTGATCTTTCAAATACAATTATCAAGGAAGACAGAATAAGAGACTTTTTCACAATCAAAAATCAACCATAATAGAAAACTTCATTTCCTGCATGTAAAGGATATGAAATACTGGAAGTACCACAAGCATATATCACTATCCTTGAATAACAAATGATTTTATGTACCTTGATTTAGCATCAGAAGTGCCTCCTGCTACCTCTAAATGTGAAACTGCTTGTGCTGAACTTGAAAGTAACCCTTTGTTTATCCATGAAAATCCTGCAGACATATCTAGAAGAAAGCATAATTGTATTTATGATAGTTACTTAAACTGTTCTACCTTTTACAATCTTAAACCTTGCATTCTCTTTGCAGTTAGGATTCTTTAGTTTAGTTTAGAAAAGAAGGTACCAGTAGCTCAAGTAGATTTTATACTGTAGATGCGTCCTGTTTAATCAAGATGAAGTTACATCTATATACACGCGAGTGTTTGTGGATGCACTGACCCCTTGCGCTCCCTCACACTTAGAACTGTGGTTATTTCTATGAAAGTTTCCCCTCTGTCTGAAGAGAATTCACACTGCAGATGACCCTGGCTAGCAGCAGTGTGCAATCACAGGCACCGGAAAAACACTGAGTTTTGAAGTCCTTCAGGAAAACTTACTGCTGTTTACTGCTGTACAACAGATTGATCCTATCAAATGTCCCAACAGCTCTAAATGCCTTTGCTGTTGTGCTTGGTGAAGGTGTAAATGGAACTGTACTTGTCAGGATAGGAGATACTGTGGTGAAGCCACCAAGGCAGGATGTGTTTCAGGTGTGTGTGTGCTGATGGCCAAAGGCAGTTTCATCTTGGTGGTCTCATAGCTGGCTGTAACACATCCTCCTAATCCCACTGACACTGAATAGAGATGGCAATCAGCTGTGGACATGAACAGACCATGTCACAGATCTTGTGCCAAGAGTATGAAAGAGAGAGCCTCTTGTGCACTGCAGGTGTGATGTGTCAGTCTCCTCCCTAGGGATAAGAAATTTTAGGATTAAAATGGTCTTGCAATAATGCTGAATTCCTTGAGGTAATTTGTTAAAAGCCCTCTGAGGGATGTAAACGGGTTACTTACAACCCTCACAGTACTTGTTTTCAAATTCCCTGAGAAGTAATGCTTGTCAGTTGTCTCCAATTATGCACACTTCTACTAACAGAATCAGCAAAACAAGTCCATTGACCCAATTACACTTGGGGGATTGTTTTTTAGGGTTGTTTTTAATCTGTTTCTTAGATAAGGTGTTTCTATTGACCTATGCAAACTCCATCTCAACACAAAGTTAGAATCAAAATAAAGTTATCAATCAGGACTGTCTAGTTCTTTTTCATGGTGCTTGCATGTGATTCCATCTGGATGCATTAAATCAGGAGTTACAGTCCTTACTCTTATTTTCTATGCCTAAGCAAACCTCTGTTCTGTACAGCATGATGGTAGTAAAATGGATTGAACTACTGGTATTTTATCTAAATTGTTCTGTAACAGCAGGTAAGAGGAATAACTAAATGTGTGTGTTACATACGCTCTCTCATTTGTCCTTCTGTGTTCTTGATAAGCTTTGGCTCCTTGAGATTTGACAGTGTACTGCCTAGCCCAGGGACTGTTTTAAGCAGGTTGTCACAGCCACATAAATTGGCTCACCATCCTTAGGGATCCACAGGCTACGTAGTTTTGTGCTGCGGGGACTTGTTTGCAGCAAGGTATTTAAATGACACATTACAAAACAAGGCTAGCAAGGGTGATGTTCCTGCCAGCAAAAGTCTTTGGCACATGACAGAAAACATTAATAAATGGCAGTTTTAGGGTGATCTAAGAGGACGGAATAGATGAGAATAGCTGAATATGGACATAGCTGGGTGGCTTTCATTAAGATTGCCCTACATGCAGGTTCGTTTTTACAGAGAGCATGTTCTGACAGCGTCCTCCTGTCTTTGCAGGAGGAGGCCAACCTATTTGGAATGACGACTGCATTGTATTAGGTTAATAAAGTGGATTAGAGATGTATCACAGTGTTGTTTCCTGGTCTTTTGAAGGGGTGTACCTGTGTGTACATGCTTAATATTCCACAAGAATAACAAGTCACTGCTAGTAATCTTGCATTTTATTAACATTTTAGGGTAACAGCTAGCTAGCTTCTCTTTTTGAAGAGGAAGGTGAAGGAAAACCTGGATTTTACACATCAGGCAGAAAGAAAGTTCATAGATGCATGTCCCTGCCTTGTACTTTCATTGCCTTATATTTCTAAATTTTCCAGTGGGGTCTCACGAGTCGGGGAAAAGTGGAAGTTTGTGAAAGATGGGCAATTAAAGAAGACATTTCCTGTCTGGAAAGGACTCTCAATAGAAATCTGCCTACAGTGAAAAGACTTAGTACTTCTAGCAAAGCAGATAAATTACTAATAGCTACACTTA